GGCTCGATATCGAGATGATCTTGGTTTAGCATTACAAAATATCACTTTCAAGACTCGTGAGGAAGAGAAGGTACCATATATATATTTCATATATTTCATTTTCCCTTTTATCTGAATACATTCATTGTTAAGTACAATATGATATTGAATGTAAGGTAGTCTTTTCTTAAAAATTTCATATAAAAGTAATAATATGTGGTTGGTGGTTAGAGAATAAGTTTCCCCTCTATAAAGAAAGAAATTTTTTTAAATTGCTTATACACTGTTGTGAAACATAACTTTAGTGTACATTATTTTTACTTCCTCTATAAAGCAATTTATAACAATAAGTAAAATAGTTATCTACAAAACAGTAAATCCATATTATGAATTATTTGTATAGTCAATGACATTATGTTTCCCAAGACTATTAGAGAGATGGAAAGATGCCTGAAATGTAATTTAGTTAATACAAGCAACCTACAAAACTGTTGATAGTATGATCCCAGTTTTGCATTTTTAAAAAAGCAAACGTAGACATTAGCACATGTATTTTGGGAACATAAATATGGGGGGAACAAATGAAATCATTCTGGAATTTTGATTATCCAAATTGATTCAATAGATTCTTGTTTCTTCTTTTTTTTCTCTGATGTATTTGTCAGATTTAAAATTTTATATTAAGACAAGCCAATGACCTTAATGTTCTCTTTGCCTACTGTTCCTATTAATACTAACACATGAATCAGCAACCAGAAGAGATTGCTTTAGTTCTCATGGTCAAAGGGACATGTTTAATTACTGGAATGTTTATAACAAGCCAATTATTTTGGCCAGGAGTCAAATCCTTAAACATTATCCATGGCCATCCACAATAGTTTTAATGCTAAGTTGTTTGGACACACCAGGGAAATTTACAGGCATTCCTTTGGATTTTCTAGCCTATTTGGCAAAAGGTTCCAGTGCCTTATACTTGTTTGTTTGCTTGTTTGTTTGGGGGAAAGGAGGGTAGAGAAAAACCTCATTTTTTGAAAGTTCCAGTAAAACCATTTCATCATCGGCGCCTCCTCTGCCCTTGCCTTTATCGGCTGGTTCAGAGGTGGTTCAGGGATGATCTGCTTTTCCTCGGGCTGCGGGGGTTCTCTAGTTAGGTAGTAACTAATTCACTACAAGTAGAGGGAGAACACATATTAGCCAGAGCCTCTCCAGTGAGTAAAGAGTATCTGGATAAAGACTGATCCTTAGAAGTCACATTACATCTTCCATGCCACTCAATATTAGTCTAGTTAGAAAATTAGATCCCACTCTCATGGCACCTATGGTATCTGTAATCAGTGCACAGGCCCTGTTCCCTTACAGACAGTGTGGTGTGAACTGTTTAGGATCATTTCGTTACAGATTGGAATTGTCGGAAGGACTGGGGCAGGCAAATCAACACTATCAAATTGCTTATTTAGAATTTTGGAGAGATCAGGAGGCAAAATCATCATTGACGGAATCGATATATCCACTATTGGACTTCATGACCTTCGTGGCAAACTTAATATTATTCCACAGGTAAAGTGTTTTGCCAGTAGTCTTTCTTAACTCGCTCCAAGTGAACTTTTTTTTT